ATTAATCAAATATTTAGTTTGTTCAGAAACGTCTGAAATTTTGTGCAGATTGAAATATTGATGGTTTTTATTCAGGTTGGTGCTGACATTTGCGGTTTTTCTGGTGAAGTGAGCGAACAGTTATGCCAACGATGGATGCAGCTCGGAGCTTTTTATCCATTCAGCAGGAATCACAATGCTAGACGAAATAAGGTGGGATCACATGTAAAATATATTCTGTGCTGTCTTATATGTTGAGAATTAAACAAGTTTTACAATCTTAATAAAGTTATTTCTATTCTGTATTCATGAGTATCATAATATCGCTACCATTATCGTTTGTTTCAAATGCCATAAATATTATATTTATTGTTATAATTTATTCGTCAATACGTTCGATTCAGACAAACGAATAAGTAAACATCAATTAAATTAGTGTCATATGTATCTATAACGTATGTGACATTGAAGCAATACACGTTCGTTGTGATTCAGCAAACCACTTAAAAGTAACAGCGAGGTATAGTAGTTGTGGTTGAACTTGTTGTTATCGGTCTGTTCCACGCGCTGTGATATAATAATTTACAACAGTTCCATTTTTAGAAATATCACGTCATTGCGATAAATGCTATATCTGGCAAAGTAGTTCGGAATAGCGAAAATGCAAAGACTATTTTGTATTGTATTTAGAACGTTACATGTATGTTCATTATGCATAATAATTATGATATTTATTGATTTGATAGGACCAAGACCCTGGTGCATTCAGTTCAAAATGGCAAATGTCGGCTGTTAAAGTCATGAAAACTAGATACAGTTTGTTACCCTATTTGTACACTTTATTCTACCGTTCTCACGTCAGCGGAGGAACTGTAGCAAGACCATTATTACATGAGTACGTGTAACAATAATACATTTTCCCAGACATTCTTGAATTGTTCACTCCTGAAGTTATAATTTATAATAATCTTGTTTCATCTTTCATACATTTTCAGATTCCCAACTGATAAGATGACATGGGATATTGATGCACAGTTTTTGTGGGGGTCGGCGCTAATGATATGTCCGGTTTTGCAAGAAGTACTGCTGATTTATTTATATTCAGTCGATGCTCCATGTATTACTATACTTTTCGCTACTGAGACTTGACAATGCGTATTACAATGATAGTCATTTCTCATTTCAGAATGCTGTGTTGATTGATGTTTATTTCCCAAATGTAGTATGGTATGATTTCTACACGGTGAGATGTTGTAATTTATCATAGATGTAAAGCCCCCCCCCCCCTTGTCCCCTCCCCTAGTCAACTTTTTTTCACCTTTCACAACTTTTGTACTAAAATTAAAAACGAAAGTACGAATGTCGTCAGCAGTTTCTGGCGGAGATGATCATAATGGGGTTTAGCACCGACAAACGTGTTCGTTATCAATCGAAATGCACCAATATATGTATATAATATTTGGTTATTCACCTCTAGGGCACCCGGGTAGCCACATACGGTGGTCAGTTTCTGAAAGTTAGTGCACCACTAGATCATCTTAACCTATTCATCAGAGAAGGAAGCATTATACCAACACAGGAACCAGCCAATACCACCGTCTACAGGTGAGAAACTGGAATTATTAATTGCATATACGCGTGATTGTTATAATGTACAATGTCGAGTTACAAAACGAAACATTCCTTTGTTGTGGTTATTTATACTTTTCAGTCGGTTGAACACGATGGGACTATTAATTGCCCTGTCAGAAAACCCTGGAGAATTTGCAACCGGCGATCTTTTCTGGGATGACGGCGAGTCTGTAGGTGAGGAATTATACAACGCAGGACAAAATAGCGTTATTGTTTCATGCACGAACTGATCTTGGGTCGCTACTGGTCCACGCGCACCAAGTGTGCTACATTGTTTATTATATCTGCGCCATCCTTGGTCGATGCCATCCTTGATTATATTATATTATATTATATTTATGGCAAAGAGTGTTAGCAATAATTGTGTTTTTTATGTACATGTAACAACGTTGTTAAAATAATACAATGACGGTACTCTTAACTTTCCACTAGATTCGATACGAAATAACGACATCCATATTATATTCCATGCCACGCTTGTAAGTATTTCACATCGAAGAAAGTTTCTGTTTTAAATTTAAAAAAACAAAAACAAAAAACAACAACAACATCGCCATTACTGAGTATATTTGTTGCCAGTAAATGTGTTACGTCATGAAACTGAGAAAGCAATATTATAACTCGTTGTTTTTTCGTTCAACAGGAACATATAAACATTATTGTGGATCGTAATGCCTACCGAGGAAAACACATTCCATTATTTGGGAAGATTACTGTATATGGAATCCATACTCAGCCAGCGGACGTCGAGGTGAACGGGATTTCGATTGAGAGAAGCTTTATTTCATACAACGCTGATATAAATGTAAATATGTCATACGTTTTGCAATCAGGTTTACTTTTGCACGCAGTTTACGGCAGCTCCAAATATGCAATAACCCTGGTATACATTATTTAAATCTTGGCTTCGCACTCATCACGCGACCATGGCTTTAATAGTACATAACTCATGTATTCTTTGATCTAAATTGTAACCGAACTTATTACAGTGACTTGACAATATACGACAGTGTATAATCGAATATATTCACATTAATAGATGACGTAATTTTTTTGAAAACTGTGGATAATGTATTTTAATTATTTTACAGGTGTTTAATATAACCAAGATAACGCTGCCAATCAACGAGAGTCACACTATTCTACTGAAGTACTGAACACTTATCAAGCAATCCAGCACAGCAATATAACGTCGATGCTAATTCGCATCCTCTTAAATATGCATTGTTTTAATATTAAAACAATATTTAATACTAACATCCCTAATAAAACACTACGTATATGCAGTAATGTTATTGTACAATCATGTTTTCTGGTATTGTTTGCATTGATTATTTAGTACAGAGCTTTTAGAAAAATTATTTCTAATATTAAAGGTTTATAAACACAAATTTGAAAATTGCCATTGACCAATCAGAGCGGTCGCTGTGACGTTACCGCGGAAAGGGACGATTCAGTTTGCGCATGTGCGTCGGAAAGTTGATAGGAAATATACAATGTACAGTACAGAATCTTACTGGCTTTGTAGTATACCCTTGAGCACCGCGCCAATTACTATAGTGAACCCATTTGTCTCAATTTGATTTGAATGAAACGTTCGATAAATGTGTTAAAAATTACGTATAAAGTATGGAAACAGTTTCTCTGAAAAAAAGCACCGTATTTAGCATTGTTGAAATATTTCTTAATCTGTAAATTATAATACAACAGAGGACAATATAGCGTGTCTCTTGTATGCTGTGAGTCTGGATACGAGTGTGACATCTTTAAATCCACACACTCCATTACTATGCAATGCACCAACCACAGTTTCAACGCAAGCAAAACAAAAAATGCAACGCCATTAGCATACGTGCATAATAAGCGTTTCCATAGTTAATACGTACAAAAACAACCATGCTATTATGTCCACATAGGTATATATTAAACGTCTCGAGGAGAACAACAACTTGACCAATCATATAAGACTCGTCTTCTCTGGATTTGAATGAAGCGCATGCGCAGGGGTATTCCGAGGCAATTCTTTTTACTTTTTAATATTTACTAAATTGTCATAAAAAATATTCATGACGTCACACTGCATTTAAAACCATCACTAACATATATATTTAAAGCAAAGTTAAAACAATATCTCTTTGATTTGAGTCGTAATATTTTTGTCTTTCTTTATTTGAAGATTTGTGTGATTAAACTATGAAATCAGGGGTGACGTACCAGATGAGTTCTGATGAAGTATATCTGCAATCCCCCCAAAATACTATAAGTAGCATGCGTTATTTATTGATATACATTTATTATTTGTACATTTTTTATATTTAATGTTGTTTTAATTTTTAAGCTGAAATAAATTTCATTCATTCATTCATCTCAAAAAATTACTATATATATGTAGGTAGTCTTTAATATGTTTAGTAACTAGTCTGGTGCCATTCAATTACACATATATTAAAGAATCACTTTGACGTTTTCTATTGTGATGTACTAGTATATTAAATAATACGCGGCACATGGAAAGGAGGAAAACATATGAATGCGACATATACAACACGTGACTTGAACGTGCCGGAATGTATTGCATTTGAATACGAGCATTGGGTGTAATTAATTGGCATACTGTGGAATTTAGACATCGGCTTAAGCTTAATATCATATCTACAACTGTCAACAATGTGCCAAAAAATACGTACGATTTAGCGAGAGAAAAAACTTGGCTCGAAAACATTCACTTATCTTAAAGGTCGGTGGTCGTCGCGCCACGCACGTGCGGGATATGGATCTCATAAGATGGCGACTTTGACTGTTGTACAAACTAGCGAATACAAGCTGACACGTTTCTAAGCTTTAGCTATGTAATTTATTTGGTGATTGAAAAGTATCGAAAGAGTCACCGACGGTAATTGTGCACCGTGATGTCGCGCCGAGGTCAAAACTCGTTCTCCAATTTCCATTAGAAGAGCGCAATGGATTGTGGGAATATCAATGTTTATCAACACAAATGCCGCACATGCGCGGCGCGACGATCACCGCCCTTTAATATACGTTTTATGGAAACTTCATATATTTTGACCCGTCTGAAAGTTTACAACGATTCAAGGTATCCTTTTTAAGCGTTAGTATCTACCACTCGCTAAACCTCGATCAGCCAGCCGTGTAAGTGAATCGGGAGAGTGATCATGGTAACGTCACTTTCGATAAAGTGTGTCTTTTACTTGTATTGGGAGTAAATTCTGGCGTGGTAGTCATTTGTCTTTGGGCAGTGGGTCAAATTTCATAAACACAGCAACCTAAAAAGAACGCCATACGGTAAACATCGTATTTCAATCTGTCCATCAATTAAATAGCTCCAAGCCAATAACAAAACAACGTAGTGTAAGTCAGGGTATCTCAGTACCAGTCGCGTACGAGACACAACTGCGTCAGTTCAGGATTCAATACTGTTTGGTCGCCCAGCGCTTAAAATGAGGTCTTTGGTTGCAACATTTATTGTTTTGTTCCACACATGTCACGCACAACTGTCTGGTAAGTATATTTCTTAAATGCAGTTTCCAAAAAAATGCCTTCTCAGTAGAGTGCTCACTCGTGATAACGTATGATGTATCTTCTAAGTATAGAGAAACACATTAAAAAGAACGTAAATATTAACCTTGTTCTTTAAGCCTTCCTTAATATTCTAAAGTTTTGCTTACATATTACAAACGTAGTTCCATGTTAACATGTGTAAACATTTGTCAATGTTTTTGTAAAACTATTGTGACCACAATAACATTTGCAGACTTGCCTTTCCGCGCCAAACATCATATACAACAGGATAATTATCACGAGGCCCGATAATCGCGGAATGAGTACCTTTGCAGACGTGTGGGGTTAGTCTATTTTATTTAGAAAGTAAGCAACTAAATTTACAAAATAATTCACAGGATTCAATTTGAAATGATATGCTAGGTATTAGTACAAGATTAAACTCAGCATGTGCTGTAATGGAAAGCAGCTGACCTGAAAAGTCACACAGCCCTGACCTCTAAACATTATACTCAACTAAAAGTTCTTAAAATATAGACATACCGTGATGATATTCACATGTTTACATTTTACTAGTACAGTTTAGTTTTTAAAAGACTAATTTGTTAATAAAAACGATAAATGCGCTTGTTAAAATCTATTTATGTTTTAATAATTTATTAATAAAAATTCACATAATGATAATTTAACAACAATTTGAAATAAGCATAATATAAGTATAATACATTTATCTCGTTGAAAATACTCAATTCAAACGTATTTGTACGCCACATTTTTCGTGGTAAACACCACCCTGTACCGCACACTAAGCTACATTACCATTTATCAGTAACAAGACCCTGCAAGAGAGTTTTTTGTTTACACACTACGTGCGAACACACTGCCAACGATTTATTAAGTACGTGTTCCATTGTTTATCCGATGCACTAAATACGACTTGCTAGTCATAAACATCCAACAAATCATGCAATTTGGTATGTGTGTCAAGACAACATAATTAAGGTTGTTCGCGGGTATCCTAAATGTTAAATAGGGGCGTGAGAAAAACAAAATCATCGCCAGGATTTTCCAATCATTGGAGAAATACGTTACCAAACACAATATTGAGATAAATAATATAGCAATAAATGGTTAATTGACTCAATGAATGACTGACCTTTTTGTGAAAAAATTAGTTCCGTATTTATTTTATCCGGGCTTTATGACCAACAAAATAAATAGAATGTTAATGAAAAAGAAAGAACAATCTGATTTAATGATTTAAGCGTCTCTTTAACCGGCCTCTCATTGATGATTGTATGTGTCTTTTACAATAATAGTGTGAGTCGTACACATATGGTTTCAACGAAATGCTGGCTACTCAATCCTTAGTTTTCCCATCGCATTTGTGATATTAGTTTTGTGTAGGGCCCCTTTGCCCGTGCAATTGTTTCTAAAATAATATAGTGGTAAGATTTGGTCATCTTTATGTGGTTATGTTTAAACAAACAAAACTCCCATCTATTGCCGCTTTAAAGTACATTATAGAATGAGAAACATCCGGGTATTTGCGGTCCAGTGAGTGAGTATGTATTTGCGGTCCAGTGAGTGAGTATGTTCCTTACAAAGCTGTATACATATATTCTGCAGGATGGGGTTTCTTGTCTACGGTAACAATGGGTCAACAATTCCAGCATTCACAAATTCACAATATAATCATCACAAATCGCTCAATTCGGACAGGAAAACGGTTATAGTCATACACAACCTTTGTCAAAAAAGACGTGTAGTATGAAAAGGGGTTTAGACTTCGCAAAATTGTCTAAAAAAGTAGTCATTTTCGAAGGGGTAGTGGCTCCCTGGTAATACTATTTTTACCAAATAAGCCTTCCTTTCCTGGGAGTCATTGCTGCTATACACAATGCACTAGTTTTACTTCACATACATATAAGCACCAACATCTGTTGTTATTGAATTGATGCACTGCAGGAGAATGTGGACTAATTCAGCCCAAGGGAGTAATGGTTGGCTCATCGACTTCATCTGACGATGTGATCCCGTGGTTGGCAACGATTTATAGCACAACCCTCCACGCCAACATCTGCGGAGCGACACTGATCAACAACCAGTGGGTCATAACAGCCGCACACTGCCTTGAGACATCTGGCATTACAATGAACACCCTCAGAGTTTACCTCGGCAATTCCAACTCGTACAGGGTTGAACGGATTATCGTACACCCGGATTACAACGTTGATTCCCCGCTGGATTCTGACATCGCTCTTGTTAAACTGGAGAAACAAGTATCTTATGCATATAATATCCTTCCAGGTAATCACTATTATTGTTTCAGCTTATTTGAGCTTACGAAATGCCACGATTCATATTCCGATATTTATCAGATATCTACGTGTTTAAAGCGCAAGTTGTCGTGCAGTGCGCGTTCGAATGTTTGTCACACGCGTTGTGTACGTCGCGTGAGACCCACATCACGCATGACGCGTTGCGACGACCGTGGCGCTTTCATGTAATATAATAGATAATGTTTTATTCCGGATTACTAAACTATATCGTTATTTTGTGATAAAATAGTATGTCTTCCACATACTGGAGAAGTGAAACAAAGACTGAATGTCGGAGTGTCTGGATGGGCTGCAGGTATGGCTACAGATGGGGAGAGCAATGATGTGCCATTGCCGCACCAGGTAATTCGTAATTGACTACCTCTTTCCCAAATGCGTACTAGTATCGTCCCATTGTGTTAGTGTCCGCTGCCCGAAGGATTCCATATCCAAGAGTTGGGGCCTCGCAAAAACTTATTTACGAGTCAATTACTATTGCAATGGTTTTACTAAAATTAACGTACTTTCTTTATTTTCACCAAATTGCTAAATGCTTATTAATATCAAAATGTTTATGTTTTTTTAAAACCCAGACTCGACTTGAGGTGATGGAGCGACACACATGTAAACAACATCGATCGGAGACGATTACTGATAAAATGTTCTGTGCAGCACGACCGTCGAGCGATTACGAAAAAGACGTATGTCTCCATGACAACGGTGGATCATTTACAAAGAAGGTATAACCTTACATTATAACGTGAAAGTCATGACATTGTACGGTTTTTAAAACGTAGTCGTTCTACGTCATTGAATCCCGTGTCTATGTCATCGCTTCTGTGAAGTCGGAATTATTTTCACCGATTGGATATTCTCTGACTCGTGGTGATATGGTTCTTACGTCACGCGTAATTGCCCCAGAGGGAATATTATTAGGGAATAATATATAAATACCCAAATATAGAACTTATAGAAATTCATCATAAAACCCTAAACTCTGTGTGAAACCCTAATACACAACTTCCCATGTAATTATTCGCATTTTTTAATATATAGTGGAATGGCCGTTGGTATTTGTTGGGAATCACCAGTTTAGGAATCGGATGCTCATCTTCAAACTCCCCTGGAGTATATGCGGCTTTCTATTGGTTCAGCGACTGGGTCATTGGCATAACAGCAAGTGGGGAACAAGGGTGTATAATGATCAATGTTGGAGGTATGATAAACAAATTATAAATTGATTTATTTTTAAACAATCTCTTTGATTCGTACTTAAAGCGGGAGAGTCGTCACCTGTGCATGCGTCAGATGGCCATAGCGTGTCATTGTTTACAAACAAGCGTCTACCCATGAGCCTTTGCGTTTTAGCGTGTGTTGTTATCGTCGCTTGGGACTCAATTCCCGCGCGTGCGAAGGTGACTACTCTCCCGCTTTAAACAAGATGATATTTACCGAAGCACTATGTTACAATATATACTACTGTTAATCATACACATTATTATATATTTGGTAAGTGTTTGTTGTCTGTGACATGAGCATGTTGTGTGGCGTAGTATAGTGCGTGTCAGTTTAAATCTCGTGTGATGCGTGATCATGACAGGCCTGTAATTATATTTCCACCCCTTTCCACTATCAGCCGGGTCTGAAGAACAACTGATGGACAAAGATACCGAGATCAAAGAATTACAGTTGGAAGTTGCAGAGTTGAGAGCAGAACTCGATGTCTGTCATGCTTCCAATGGAGGTAAGAGGTTACTAAACATAATTATATACTTATTGTCCTGTTCGACTGTCTTCACATAGACAACAATTTATAAAAAACGTATTGAACTTAGTAGTTTTGATTTTCCCTTTTTAGATTACTTACTTTACACGGCACTTTAGGTCGCAAGCCATCATATGCTATGCAAACATGCAATGCTTGGTCCGTTGAAATGCAGAGAATAATGAATTGAATACTCACCAGAAATGTTTGTAGTTTCTCCATAGAGTGAAAAATAAACTTGGCCAGGTTTTCCAGGGTGCGAGTTTCTTCATACATAACAAATGTAAATGATAAATTTGTAATCAGCTTACAACCAAGTTGACACAATCTCTGCTTTGCTGGGAATACCCATTGCCCGTTTTTATACGCAGGTCATGTGTGGACATTCATAAACGTGACAAAGCCCTTATATAATTAACATTTGGGACACAGCATCAATATTAATGTACGTAAATCAGGATATGTTGAAATCTTATTATACCACATTTTTATAAAATATCACAACTTTCTGCTAAAATATGTATAGAAAATAATAAGAATTATCCACTGGTTTGCCCGCGTTTCACCCAAACCACACTGAGTCTCGTTTAATACATTTTTAATATACAAAGCCCAACAGTTGAAATCCTTGTTTGTTCTAATGCACGGACATTGATGGTAATCGCTAACAAAATTCTGGAGATTCAATATTTAAAAATTAAAATGTAAGGCGATTTCATTCGACATTAATGAACAAACGCATTAGAGGTCTTCCAAGCTGCCCCCGATTCGCGTTTGTTTGGACTCCGCCTTCAGTGTGTCGTTTCTAATAAGCACTGTATACTTCTTTAACAATGTTTCCTGCTTTGGTAGTCGGTAGAAATGTAAATTCTTATTCTTTGATGAATTATTGAAGCATAACGGACACAGCAATTGTAAGGCATATTTATCTCAATCAGCGACTAAATTCAAAATGGCCGCTCCACACCGTCAAAAGTACCCGGATGTAAATACACTGGGGTCAAACAAAGGTCACGGGAATGGCCTAAAAGATTGTTTTCCACAATCACCCGTAATTCACTGACAAAATTGACCGCCTGGAATGATTGCGCAAATTCCAATAACATGTGGTCAGTTTCTATACAATGTCCCACTGTTAAACCGTTGATATTATCCCACATTACATGGTTTATAAAAGATAGTCATTTACATTTGTTTCCATCTCCGAGATGACTGTAAAATTGTCAATCTTGTATTCTGATAAAACCCCAGTTCATTGTTATAACATTTTTCATTGTAACCCCTGAAAAGTTTTCATAATTATATTCAAATAACATGCCCATTTCCAATGTATTTGTCATTTTTGAAACAAACATCATCATAGATTTGACAATTGAATAGAATTTAATTTTACCACAATAACACAAACATTAGTTTTTATGATAAAATATTACAAGTTCTCCTAGTGTTCTATCATAATTACATTCGCCACTTCCCAATATGTAATTTGATTATATAGAAATAACAGTTACAATGCAATGTTTCAAAGATTATTATTTTTCGTATTGTTTCCGTTCAATTAATTATTGATTACAATATCTAAATAGTACGTTTTATGTATTCCTCATTAATTAAATGTTTGAGGGGAAATGTTCCTCAACTTTTGCAGAATGCCGTTCCTTATCATTTTGTTCGCTTCCTCAATTGTTTGAGTTATGAACATCGAGTTATGAACATCGAGTTATGAACATCGAGTTATGAACATCGAGTTATGGACATCGAGTTATGGACATCGAGTTATGAA